GGTAGAAGCCTACTCATAAATGCAAATACCCAGAATTTATTCATTTTGCAATACATTGTACTTCTGGGCAATATAAAGATATTGACTTAAGAAAAGTTGGGGGTCACCAGCCTAATTTTCAAAAAAACAAAGGTTGTATTTTAGTGAATAGTGGTTATTTTGTCAGTATTATAACGCTTTTACCATAGGTTCCTATGGCAGAGATTATTGACACATTGTAGGCTGGTGGCATAGGCTGAAGGCCCTTTTTGTTGACCTGAATTAAATTGAAAATCTGGGTTTTAAATTTTTCTTTAACATTGTGTTCTATAGAATTGTTCTGAAAATATAAGAAAAAATTTCTCAAAATAGGTCACCGTAACACACAAAAGAATGTCATTGTGCCATGTGCCATGGGACAATAGCTTCATCAAGTTCATGATCAAACAAGCATAATAAACCAATGAACATTGTCAAGTTTTTAATTTTAAATGACCAATTTTCTCAAAAAATTATGAGTAGGCTTTTCACATATGAGTAGGTTGTGCATCATGAGCGTGCAGAGTATGACAACGACAAATAGCCAACAAATACAAGCTACTGTGAAATAGTTTGAGGGTCACTGGTCTGTTGAGATCAAGAGTCCTGAACACAAACTGCATTTCAGGACTTACAAATACTACATCAAAATTAATTTAATAAGTTCACTTATATAGAATGAGATTAAACCATGACATGCTAATATCTAATATGTCACAGGTTATCTCAGAAAGCATATGAAAAAGAAGTAATTCTTTCTACTGTTAGAGCGGATAACCATGCAGGACTTTCCCTTTAAGTGTTTAATCAAAATGCTCAATCAAGAAAGTAGGTGGCAAAGTTATATTCTTTTGCATAAGGTATTGAGAAAAGTAGACAGTTAATGAATCATGGACAAGAGTAGAAAGCTAATTTAGACTGCAGCTACCTTCTAAGGAAACTCCTGCCACAATTCAATCAGCTGCCTTTCATATACATTTGGCAAAGTTTTGGATAGTCACAGTGCAAACTCAACTAATAAACTATAACTATAACAAATACACATCACACATACATGTACCATGTATATAAATGCAAGTCTATTTCTCACAATGTCACTTTGTCGTGTGTACAGGGATTTTTTTAAACAAGGGAACAGGGACGCAGCGCCCTCAGGCCATGGCCATGTGCCCCCTTACCCTGGGAAGCAGATCCTCTGGCAATCATAAAATTCTGATTGACCAGGGATCTCATGTGGCCACAGTCATCAACTGTGACCTGTCTGATAGTAATTTTGGCCCCAAGGAAGCCATAGAATGCTCCATTTTAACTAAGAATTATCAAAAACTCCACACCTTAGTAGGGAGAATCCTATCTCCCCCACTTGGTAGTGACGCTGAATTGCAGTGCTCCCTCTTGCAGTTTTTTTCCAGAAAAAACCCTGGTGTACATGTAAACAGATCTAGCATTGAATTAGTAATCAGGTTAACTTACCTTTTAATTCCCCCTAACACTGGTAAAGTAGCAGATATAGTTATTTTCAATGCAGGGACAACATGGGCAGTTATCTCAGATGATGCATGTTTCTGTCGACTACAAGAAAATACAACCACAAAAAAAAGTTAACAATGAAGACGACGATGACAATATAAAGGTTTACATTTTGTAGTCATAAATCTTTCCCTTCATTTTTGGGGGAAGATCAATATGAAGGACGCTTATTAATAAAGCACCATAGTTATTGTGTGAGTCCCATGCAATGTAAACTACATTGTTTATTTATAAATGAAATTTGAACACACTCTGCATAGTGACCATGACGATGTAAAATAATCAGATTCAATGCAAGACATATAGTGTAATATTGTACAATTAACATAGAAAAACTAAAAATACCCTGCCCAGAGAGAAATAGAATTGTAAACTAATTGTTAAGTATTCAATAAAATAGCTTCTTAGTTTTCATTTTGCACCAACAACAAAACTGAATGTCAGTCTGAATTATGGTTATTTTCAAAGCATTCAGTTAGACATGGAAAGCAAGATACAGTGTATAATGTGACGTACACATCAAATAACAAATAAGCTTCACAGCTTTCCTGATCATCTTATTGGTAATTCTACCGATTTGGAAAACAGAACGCTACATTTGACATATTAATATGATAACGCGGCATGTAACACCATAACAAAAGCATGTATTCTGAAAGGTCAAAATTGGTCTAATCAAATCACCAGTTGCAATACATGTTATCTTACCCGCTCTGTCTTTGTGCATATAGACATTCGCTACTTTCATGTTCTAATTTGTAAAAAAGTAAATGACCTCCTGTTGTCTGTAAAGTAAAAATCACAGCGGCGTAAGTAAATGGAATGTAACATGCTTACAAGAACAAAATGCAAGAGCAACTTTCATTTAGCGTACTCATTTGCAATGGACACAAACGGTATTATCATACATCTGTCTGTAGGATCCGCTGTATATACGTGTATAATGCCATAATTTGAGCAGTATTCAACAGATTTATTGATTTTACCTTGTTAGGAAATTCCAAATATGAAACAAATATGTGATAATTCCAAAATGATGGCCATGTTTCAAAATGAAGTTTATAGCAAGAACATTGCATTAATTTTCACCATCTTGTTTTGTTCTGGGCTTTATACACCAAGCGGGTAGATTGACTGAGGAGATGTGCGATAATAAAATAAGGATACATAAAAGTGAGCACACAAACAGTATTAAAGATTGACATCATTGATACTTCTTGTTGTACTGCCTTCATACGCACCATTAGGTTTCTCATAATAATAACTACATAATATATTATAATTTTCATATATTATACTAATTATTAAAATAAGGTTGATCAATACAGTTTAGTTGTTTCACAAACATGGGGAGTTCAATGTGGACGCGCAAAAGTTTTCAGTTTTCATATTCTATTGCCAAAGGTAAATTACGGAATTGTTGTAATTTCACAAATAGGTCCGTATCTACCTTTCAAAGTTAAGTTCCTTGGACGACGGTGAACAGAATATGGCACCAAAACATGTTTAACATTTTAATAGATACCATGGTACATCAATATTGTCATATTGTCATGTCAATGCAATTAATTAACCGATGTGTCACTGACAGTAAAGATACATTAATACATGTACACGGTATTTATTAATACACATGTACTGTATTTTACAACCATGATTTGTTGCACCCATGAAAATATAGTCGGTATTTTCACTATTGATACGCAAATGAGTAAAAAAACAAAAAACAAAAAAAAAACATAATCTCAATTGTATATTTTGGGTTTGTGTCGTATTCCACAGGATACCTTCATATGTGCATTGAAAATAATTCCTAATGAATGTTGCAGAGGAATAGAAACTATAACAAATTGGATTTGGAACAGTGAATCTGTAAGTTTGCAATAGTTGTGATGTGCTGGCCAAATTTAAAGTAGATCACAACCCTTGTTCACTATGTTCATGAACATATAGCCACTGGATACACTGCATCACTCGTGAAAATAACTTCCAAACCCCACAAATGTCATGGGAAAAGCCAGGGGGTTCTGTCATAGATTCCAGACAGGAAAAAAAAACACAAAAAAAACAGCACATGACTAAGTGAAAGAATCACAAGGGCCATTGTATAATTTTACAGAATGAAACAAAAACAAAGCTTATTTTTACAGATTCCTAACCTTGTGTTGTATGTTGAATAGCACACTGTGGTAAACTATGTTTGTAGTGAAAAATGAACCGTAGATATTCACAGAAGTAAAGAAAAAAATAATAATAGTATACCGGATAAAAATTTATACTAAATATTAGCTTAAGGTAGAAGCCTACTCATAAATTAAAAAAACTCAGAATTTATTCATTTTGTAATAAAATGTACTCCAAGGCAATATAAGGATATTGACCTAAAAAAAGTTAGGGGTCACCAGCCTTTTTTTCGAGAAATTGATGGTTGTATTTTAGTGGAAAGTCGGCATTTTGACACTATTAGAACACTTTTACCAGAGATTTTATGGCAGAGATATTATGCAATATCTCAAAATTTAGCCTGGTGACATAGGCTGAAAAAATCATATATTGTTAATGATGGAGTACTTGTTCTGAATTATTTAAAAAATCTGGGTTTTGAAAGGTGTCAAAAAATGCAATTTTTCTTTAACATTGTGTTCTATGGAATTGTTCTAAAAATAGCAATTTTCAAGAAATATTAGGACACGTTTCTCAAAAGGAATAACTGTAACACACAAAATAATGCTATTTCATTGTATCATGAGACATTAGCTTCATGTTTGTACATAATAAACTAATGAACATTGTCATGCGATTTGTGACCAATTTTGTCAAAAATTATGACTAGGCTTCTACCTTGATGTGTAATTTAAAAAAAAATAATACATAAAATGTAATAATAAACTGTTTTTTTGCAGACTGTGTTTGGAGAGGGAGTAATTATATGCTATGCTAATCCTCTTATAGAATTTACTGAATGAAAGCAGTTACAACATGGTGTCTTGACAACGCTTGTTGTCAGGGAATGAAAGACCAAATTGGGTTGGATTTTATTTTTTGAAAAAAAGTTAAAAACATAAAAGTGATTAGTTGAAGCCCAGCTATTTAGTGTACAACTGTAAGCTACTTATTGTTCCTAAGACAAAAAGTATTTAGTCTATAATGAATTTTACTGTCTAATATCAAAAGTACATGTGACAGAAGCACACGTGTACATGTACATGTACATACATATATAAATTTGGATGTATGCCATTTATGCAGAACTATGATAATCAATACATTGACATGTTTCAACCAGAATTTGAAAAACGAATGCGGGCAAAGTCAATGATTTTTTTTTAATAAAAGGAGAATCTACCCCTCCCTATTCTGAATAAAGGGGGTGATTTTTTTAAATCATGACTTGTTTGTATCACAACTTCACCATGTTGTTTTGGCATTTATATTCAATCCAATTCAGTTCTATGATTTTTATTCAAATAACCTATATACAATTATTCTGACGTACAATTGCTTCAGTGTGAAAAAAGACTTCAACATTGAAAAAAACAATTCACTTAACTATACAAACCATAATTAGCTGACTCAGCATATTGACAGCTGCTGTAGTGTCAAACCTAATATATCAGACACAGATGTGTATTGGACATGTGACTGTCTTTATAATACTGTAAACTGCTTAATTTTCACTGCTAGAAATTGTCTCAATGTAAAAATTTTATGGCATTTTTAAATACAAAATTTCACGCAAGTCACTATTAAACACACGTTGTAGGACCCAAGAGAAATTTACATTCCTACAGAATTTAGCAAATTTCACTTACTCGCAAAATTTGCCCATCGCAAAATTAAAGGAAAAACAGTTATGCAAAGCCACTGATCTTTGAGCTCTAAACATAAAACTGTTTATCATAAATACATGAAGAGTACATACCGCAACAGCCAGAACAGTGGAATCTGGTTTCCATTCTGCAAATCTGTTTTTTCCCAGAACAATAACGGAATCATCAGATCTTCTGTAACTAACTATGTGCACACATGGCTGCAAAAAAAAAAAATTAAGATTACCTTCCTATTGTACCTTCACCTTGTGCAATTTTTATAACAATTTCAATTCATCAAGGTCATTTTTATTGAATAATAATGTAGAAATTTGTATGTGAAACCTAGTGCTTGTATTTTTTTTAGTATAATATTTCAAATTATCAATCAGTGCAATTTATTACAATAAGCTTGTTACTGCATATTTTGTAGGCAACTTTTAAAATATTATACAAATATAAGGTATGAGGTGCCCCCACCCCTACCCCAAACACACACGGGAGGGAGTAGGCAGAGGTCACTAATCTGATTAGAGGACTGTGGTCTGCCTGATACTGTAACTGGATATAGCTAACAGTAGGGAAGTGGTTTGAGTTAGGATATTTTTGAGTCGACTGGTTAGGGTTAGGTCTTATTGTAAATGGAGAGGAATACTTTGACAGACAAGTACTAACTGTGAAGACTTGAACTGAGGACAAGAAGTTATTCTGACAGGGTACAAAGAGTTGGAAAGTTAGTATAGTGTGGAGTTGATTTTTTTTTTTTGGAAGAGGTGATAGGGTTCAATTGTTTATTTTGCCAAGATATTTAACACCAATTAAAAATAAACCCTTGCTGCCATCCTGAAATATACACAGTAAAAATTCAGTGTCAATATCAGAGCCAGTGACAGCAAAACATCGTCATACATTCAAACAATCTCCATCAAGTTATCGAGGTGATTTACTAAACTACATTGGAAATATACCTTAGATTGATATATAAATGTATATTTGTATGCTATTATTATGATTACATATTCTTGATATAAGGACAATATTATTAAACATCTTTAGTCAAATTTGTTGTCAAGCACACAGGAGAAATCAGCTGGTAATTCTGCATTAATTTACTCAGAAGGAAATATATGTATAGCAGGACTTGAGAACTGTGAACTAAGTGTACTGTACATATAGCAACACCAAATTACAAAACTTGTACAGTATCTAATATTATCTCTGTAGAGACCATTATCAGGTATACATATGTAACTTTGTGAATGAACTGCCCAAACAGGTCAACTGCATACACAAGAAAGCCATTGTTGAAAGTGGGTAACATTATCTTTCAAAAGACCCCCTTAGATTCTAATGACAGGAAGTAGCCTTTGAGAAAACCCAGACAGAGTCTTGGAATGTTCCAATAAACCATAACATAAACCAAGCTTGACAATACTCTACTTTCCTGGTCTTTGTGATTACAGTAAAGCACATACATATGAAGTTGTTGTATGATACTGTCTGATAAGTTTACACTCAATGGCTGCTAGTTAGTGCCAGTGTTACCTCTATCTATAAAAGTAAAATTTGAATAACATTTTCTGGAACATCTTACTCATTGACTTAACCAATTAATTAAATATATGATTTATGAAACAAATATTCACATAGATTAGAATAGTTGTGTTAACCGGGGTACTTCATGTTTCTTATATTGGACTTTACTCAAGCATTGTTTGTGTGTACGTTCCAAATAAAATATCCTATCATATCCTATCCATACAAACAATAAATAAAACTAACATTCAAACAAAACTCCTAATTACAGCAGTAGCAGATGGTGTCCTTTGCAACATGTTGGTTTCAGATATTGGTCTCATCCTGTAAAGTTTGAACTTCACTTCGACATCAATGACAATTGCCTCGATATGCCTAAGGTGTCTATCTTGGTGCCCCTTCAAAAAATACAGATATTTCCTATACTTTTGCTGTACACTAAAGCAATGGTATCAAATTTTGCCCTGAAATTGGGTGTCCTTTCAACCCTGATTAAATTACCTCGTAAAATACATTATTTGTTTACAAATGCTATTTAGCTACTACTGCCCTTTAACACATGAAAATCCAAACAGGAACTCTCTGCATGCACATGCATAAACAGATATAAACCAAGGAGCTAATATTTCACTCGTCTTAGAAGATGACAGGAAGGTGGTTTTAATCCTACTTACTAGAATTCTTTTCCTTGGATTTTGATCATACCCCCAATCAATAGAATAACTATATATCAGTGTTACATGTTTTGTTTTATCTATGTTTTATTTTTTGATGTTTTGAAGTACCGTATATAAAATTAATTGAAATTATATGAATAAGAGCATATCTGCAAACAGTAGTTTTAATTAATGTCTATGCCTTTCAAGTAGATACAACGGAAATAACAGAAATACAGGTTTTTTATGTGTGTTTTTCCTGCAACTATTCCTATCCCCCAACAGAATGAAAATAATTAAATATTTAATTAATGACATTATCAACACTTTAAAGAAATTAGACATTGGGAATAAAACGGTGATACATCGATACCTATTTATTATTAAAACTGTGTAGCGACCAGTGCTGTCGCTGTTGCACGAATGCTTGGTGAGCCAATTAATATTACGAACACAACTACACGTTAAGAAACTACGCAATATGAGCCAATGTTTGTTTCGCCTAAAGTGAGGTCAAGGTCGAAAGATACCGAAAAATAACCTAAACATTTGATAAACAAAATAAACACCTCATTATCAGCTGATCGTATTCGATCAACGTCGACGGGTCAAATGACGTGCACAGATTTGGACATAAACGTGGAGTTTTTACGAAACTCAATTATTTAAAAGGCACTCATAAACAAAATAACCACCATGCTAATTTACATATAACAGTGTAGCTCAAGAAATCTACAAAAGTTTTTTTTTTTGTATATATATTCATTTGGATTGTTTCTTACCTTGTAGTACCATACGTAGAAAGCCTGAGCGGTAAGCACGGCGAAGAGAGATCGATCCCGGTTAGCCACGACATACTCGAGAGTATCTTCTTCTTCGATCGGGAGGGACAGTAATTTGGGCCATCCGATAGGGAAATACATAACGACAAAATGCTGACAAATCTGGACAAAGTAGCAAACAATTAAAGAAGAGTCAAGACGACTCAAGCCGCCATCTTTTTTTGAAGCGATATGAGAGTATGGTAAATAGTGGTTTATAACGTTTCATTTGATTGGCTAAACCATTATCCATATACATTAATTAAATATTGGTGCATTTAAATACAAACCAGTAACAAAATACAAATAATAAAATCAATGTTAATTTTATATTTTTATATAATTCATTGAAATCCGAGAAAGTAAAAAATACTTTTTTGACCAGTAGCAACGAGTATTTTGTGTCGAATAACAAATCTCGCGAATTCGCGTGAATTATCGCGAGAATTAAGCGAACACAACATCTCGCAACACGGAAACCATAGTAATCCGCTACATCTGTGATTGTCGAGCAGCGGTTGATTTGAACAGTTGTCACCAAACCAACCATCCGGGGCACTTGGTTTGTTTGCCGTAGTATGTTGAACTGGTCACAGACCTAATAATGTATTTGATGTGGTCGGCTTATAATGACAACAGCAGACACCTCACACCAACAACGAAATAATTTCGACGTTGGTCGAAGGTGGCGCTGTTTTCAAATGGTTGTCTTTATCAGATCAGCGTTGGTGGCTTGTCGATCAATTATAATTGGTTTACTAGTCTCCTGGAGACGCTCGCACCTGACGGGTCCGTTGATAGTTTCATGTAAATACCATTACAAGTGCAGCAACTGGCCGGCGTTTCTGACAAAGTTTTTGCTCATCAGGGACAGTAATCAACAGGGCTAATCGGAAACGTAACTACAAGATTTCCCGAAACCACAACAGGTGAGTTTTGTCGGTAGTTAGAGAGAATTACAGGCCGCATTTCACAGCTTTATTCCTCGAAAAACACTGATTGGAAACGTTGACTAACTGCTATTCCTGCCTACCGCGAAGTGATCATGATCGAGCGTCGCCGTGTTTTGTATTGCATGTTTCAACTTGAAGTGAGAAAGTAAGCACTTACGAAAGCTGAAGTACACGTTTCGACAACTATCTTCGGCGATAATCCAAAACTGTCTAGACGCGAAATTTCCCAGTTAAAACTATAATTGCTTGGTGTTTTTCCCCCGGTTAACGTGATTGGTACGGTTCGTTGGTCACCATAGCGTGTGACGTTGTCGCCTCAGTCAGAATGCCTTCCAGTTCAACCTTGAGAAGTTTTAATACAGTAAACTTCACATTTGAAATTTTAAAAGATTCATTTTTGACACCTGTTATGTCCACCCCATCGGCTAATTGCTATGATTTTCTTCGTTCAAAATAAATACACTGCTAGTTTTAAAAATTGACTGAACTTCTCAATAATTTTTCCAAAGTGGGGATACTAAATTTGTTTAATAAGCCAAAAATGATTTATATATTTACAATTATCTGTAAATATTTAAAAAAAAATAAAATTAAAATGCAGTCAAGACAAGAAAAATATAAAAAAATTACATTTTGTCTACAGCCAAATGTACAACTTCGACAAGATGGTAGATTTCTGTATTATTATTTTTTAAGGTAATAGGTGATTAAAGTTTTGCTTACACTGAAACAAAAATGTTATTTCTTGCTTTGACCTTGAACCCCTAATAAAAACTAGAGCAAATACAAGCTGCAACACTGTTAAAATAATTATTTTCACAATATTTACATAGCCACATCACTGCTACAACTATTTCTTAAAATTCTAAATATTCAACTGCTTGTTTTTTGAAATGAAAGAATTTACCTCGTGGCGGTAATGGCTGTTGACATTAATAGTGACAAAAGATTCATTGTAACTCAATGTCAAATTAGCCTCGAGAATCAGCTGTGTACATTTCTAAGGCATAGACTACAGAATGAGAAGTGTACAAAATAAGAAGCTAAGAATGTGACACTTTGGTTTAATTTAATGCCTTTACAGGCTGGATCACTGTAAATATTTTATGTAGGAGAAACAAATCCTGGTTATGCCACAAGTATCAACAGAACTCAGTGCTAGATGGTGGCGACTTTGACTTTTTATACGTAATTATGAGCAATAAAAACTATTAAAATCGAAGATTGAAAATTACTGATATTGTAGATGGAGAGATATTTACTACGTTCAATTTAATTTAATGACTGCTGCTGGAACATTCACAATTTTTTTTTAAATTCACTGGTTTGTGCTAGATTTATGCATTTTATGATAAAATACACAAATTAAGACCTTGCTGTTAATTAAATTCTCTACAGACCTGCCAAATTTGTGATTTTATTAAATGAGATAACTGAACAATAATGGGAAAAATAATTATGTAAAAAAAAATTTCTATATTTATAAATCTTTTTTTTTAACTCTTAAAAGGTTTCAAATGAAATCAATACCACTACACAGGAATGAATGTAAAACATTTGATTCCCTCTTGTTGAATACAACGTATGGTTTTTGACAGACAGTGTAAAGAGTACAATAGTTGTTAATATCATGGTCGAGTGAGTGAAACTAAACCTCGCTAACAAGAGAAATACTACAATAGATAGTGTGTAATAGAGATTAACATATCTGAGCCGTCAACGACGACTATATCTTAAGTCTGGTTTGCCAGACAGTGGAGCACAAGCTGTTCTACACAAGGGAAGAGGGAGGTGCATTACAAATATACCGATACCTACGATGGATTTTCTTACCGAGGGAAAATTACATGTGCAAATACATACCAATAATGCAAAGTATCCCCGGTATCTGTGAAAAATGAAATGTTGCATACAAATTGTTGTAGCCCCTTTTTGTGGACATGTTTTGTAACTCTATTGTTTGTACAACTTCGAATTAAGTTAAATTTTTTCATATCGCCGAGTTCATTATAATAACTGATTTTATTACCTCATTTTCAAGTTGTATGCTATACGCCAAAAACACATGGAATATACTGTTTTGGATATAGATCATAAAATCCCACTATGGTTACCTTTACTTAGTTTTGTTGATCCATACAGAATTATTTATTAATCCTGAAAACATAAATGTTGTCCTAGTGTATAGATTATAAGATTAAAGTTAATCCTATGTAGTGACTTGTAGTCTAATCAGATTAATAAAATACATGGAAACTCTCGTTTCTTACCGCTGTATCAAACGCAGTATATTACATTTTTCCACATAAAATACATAAAAGTGCTCAGTACCATCATTGTTTACAAAGTATATTATGAGATATTTTTTTGTGATTTTATAATCTGTAAACTTTTTTAATTTTTGCAAATTTCACAAGTCAATAGTTATCGCTAAATTTTAAATTTTCTAGCAGTGAAAATGACTTTGGTCTCATGCAAATATCATAAAATCCTGAAATTTCAAAAATTTCTAGCTGTTTACAGTACTGTAAAATACTTTATTTTCTTGGAATTAATTTTTTGCTATTTTCGCTGAAGGAATGATTCCGTGGAAATAAAATCCAGCGATTATACCTTTTTCCCTATATTTAACATTCAACTCGTCAAAAATCGATGAAAATAAATTCCATACAAAACACCCAAAAGTCTTTTCAGCGAAAATTAATTCCAGCTAAAATAAAGTATTTTACAGTATGTTAAATGTTTGCATAAATCGGAGGGTTGAAGATTATGTTTATCATATTCATAAAATAAAATTTTTTCACTTATTTTTCCTAAAATTTGATCTGGACCTACAGCAATAATATAATAGAAAACTATGTCAAAAATGATCATAAATATTACAGAAAAATACCTGAAATTAAGAGAAATGTTGCACCAAAAATGTTGGCAGAAAAAAATATGGAAATCAAAGGGAAGGAGTGGATTTATGGAGAATATTTTATTTTTATGAAATAATGCAAACATTTATATTATCAATATGACTGCTGTTACACACTTGTAATAAACTTAATTACAATACATGGATACATAACAAGGTTTGAAACGTTATAACTGAATTTTTTCTATTACCAGTAGTAATGTATGCATTTATGTAACTGACAGAAGTGGTTGAAATACTGTAAAATAATTAATTATTCACTGGGTTTTAATTTTGCTTATTTCGCTGACTGGAAAATGCGCTAAATTAAAACCCAGTGAATATGTAAAATTTAACAAGAACACATTATCTAAATGATAAAACCGTGAATTTAAAACCCACTGAATATGCCTGAAATGCTAAGACATAAGATCAGCGAAATTTAAACCCAGTCATTAAACCGGTAGTCATTTTATAGGAGGTCATATTTTAAAGATCCAGCATACCATAAAATTACAATTTTTGGAGATGCACTTCTAATAGAGCAAATACTGCATGTATACTGTTTTGAAAGACAGGAAGGGTGCGGTAAGGCTGTATGCGATTTTATTAGATAAAAAGGGTTATGTGCGTTTTTTACTTACTCATGTGTAGGAGGTGGGATGGGGTTATTTTTGTTGTATGCTATTTAGATGAGAGGGTTGGGTTATAAATGTAATGATATTTGTATTAGGTGAATTCAGAGTTAGACAATGCAGTGATGGCTTCATAACTATGTATTAAAATATGCGATATTATCAGAGTCCGATAAATGAAAATAAAACGATCATTTGTCAGTATGTGTGACCTGTTTATACAAGTTTCTGCATGCATTGGATGTATGGCTTGCAGTGGCCTTGTTCTACTGCTATAGCCATTGCTGATGTTTTGAAACAAAATAACCAAATTGTCTAACAAAAATCCACAAATGTATCTCTCTGATACATGCTACATTCACATTTAATTGGTTACAATGTTCCATCAAGAATTTAATAATGTTTGGCTGCTGTGTTTAATTGACCAATTACAGCCGCTTTATTGTGGGTATTGAAATGACAGTCTAATAATAACAGTTTATGGTATTAATTTTGCAAGCATCGCATGGATTAATGTTTAATATTTAGTTTTGTATTAATTATTGCTTATCTACGTCTACATCAAGACATATAAACTGCACCTAGACACAGTGAAAGAAATAAAGGCTCTAAGACATATAAAATACACCTAGAGTAGACATAATGAAAAATGTACAGACTCTAAGATATATAAAATA